TTGCCAAGGCAGATTATACAAACATGCCTTTCAAAGAAATGGCCAAATTGTGTGAAGACCAAATACTCTCCGCAGATTTCAAACCCATGTTTTAATTCTTGAGTCTATTATTACTTACATAGTCATAAAGCTTACCATACTCATCCCTATCAACAAATAGGAACATAAGTTTTGCTACTACCATCAATATCCATGCATATCACATCAAATACAATAATCATATTCACTGGCCCATCATATCACATCAAATAGGATAATTCATATTCACTGGCCCATCATATCACATCAAATAGGATAATTCATATTCACTGGCCCATCATATCACATCAAATAGGATAATTCATATTCACTGGCCCATCATATCACATCAAATAGGATAATTCATATTCACTGGCCCATCATATCACATCAAATAGGATAATTCATATTCACTGGCCCATCATATCACATCAAATAGGATAATTCATATTCACTGGCCCATCATATCACATCAAATAGGATAATTCATGTTCACTGGCCCATCATATCACATCAAATAGGATAATTCATATTCACTGGCCCATCATATCACATCAAATAGGATAATTCATGTTCACTGGCCCATTAATCTATGCATATTTAATGTCAATTAAATATATATTCTCTCCATGATAAAAATGAATAACTTACTTCTCAATACTGCTAAAGACATAGGGTGTACCACTGGTGGTCTCTATTTCAAAATCAAAGTATCTGCTACTGCCTGTACCGCGTGCAAAGTTCACACAGCTCATTTCATCAAAGCGAATATGTATAGGTGGTTTATGAACATAAATGAATCCTCTTTCCAGCGGGTAAAGAAATCCACTGTTACTTTTGTAGGAACAAGTTATCGCTGAAGTGCCAGTATTGCTGATAATGAAGTGAACAAAACAATTCAAAGTTATAGAAAATACCAAATTGTCCAAGTTTAAATCCAACACCATGTCCTCTGATCAACAATGAATTTGATGTCAGTCAATAGAATTCACAACTTTATTTAAAATATGGTCAAAAATATTTCTATGTTGATCAATCACTTGCCATATTTAAAACTGCAAATGTTATGTGAACAAAGAAACAAACATTCATTCCAATAAAATCAGTAGCATGTCATTGACTAATCCAAGGTATTTGATATCTGCTTGCGGGCATTCCATGCTCCACTTTGTATGTACTTACCTTTTAAAATTTCCTGGCACTGTAATTTTTTTGTTGACTAAGGCTTTCATGACTCTACTGACAATTTCAAACAATGGTCCTGACATCTCGCTTTGTAACTTGTTGGCATACTTTTGTTCTAATTCCTCCCTGTGTGCAAGTGAAGTTGTTAGAATTCTGCTGTTTATGGTCTCAATACTGACATACAAGACTCACATTGAGAAAATCTAAGAAATTCTCATGTCCCGTCGAACTCACAGTAAATGTACTTATTGAGAATAAATTCCCAGTCAAACTATGAGTGCTAACAAAGGTAGTAAAATAAATCAGATGATGTAGCTGCCGTTATGACATACATTGAAGATCTCACGAGAAATCACAAGACAAAATATATTTCTTTTGTGTTAGTGAAAGAAAGGTGGGGTCAGTTTTTCAGTGTTTTTGTGTCCTTGTGTTTGCACAATGTGTTCTTAGTATTGTGCCCTCTTGATCAGAATTATGTTTTTCATGTCTATTAATATTAACTATCAAACATGATGTTCTACAATGCTATTGGCCACAAGTCTGGAATGTCAAAATGTTAATTCTGTACCCCCTCAAACAAGATGAATTTACATCAGGCAATGGGATCTAAATCCATATTACCACCAGTGTGCAAAATTTATGCTCACCGACTGACCAAAGACCAGCTATTTTCGTTCTAGGCCAGTCATATCAATGATTTTTAAAAAGTCCAAGTGTCTTGTATTTATTGTGTAATAGTATAAAAAAATATGAATTTACCTTAAAAATAATATAAAGCCAGATTTTAATCATAGCTTCTGAATATTCAGTTATATACAGTACAGTTCTCGCGGAAGCTTTGGCTTCACTTCAGCTTCACCTTCGCTTCAGCATCGCATCATTATGGCATTGTTATGGCTTCAGCATCGCTTCAATGTCGCGACATTAAAAAGTTAGGCGGTTATCGCTTCGCTTCATTGTGGCCTCATTATGGCGACAATGTGGCATCAGCATCGCTTTATCAAACAAAGAAGTACTCTACTCATTTCCCCCAAACCTCTTGACCGCTTCCGTTTTTGACCGGTCAATTTCCGTTTTATTTTCGACCGTGCAACAATTCGGACTACTAAAAATTTTCTGGTTTTCATAGATCACGGTTACTAGTTTAGTAACCGTGCATAGATGTTGAACAACCGTCAAAAGTTCAAATACTTTTTGTTTTAACTATCTATAATTATATGCACGCAATCTGACCCTTTGACCTAGATTTGGCTGGGATTGAATATTTTATTGAGACAATATTCCGACGTGACGCACTGCTACAAAATGTATTCAACAGAAGTACAACATGGTTGTCTGGGTTTCTTTTCCTGATTGTGTTGAGTTTACGATTTGTATAATTATTGTTGTTTCCCCCCAAGCAGAAGACCATGAAGCTAAATAGAATTCCCACGCATGGACGTGGACTGAGTGAAAGAAAATATTTCTAAGGCTAAAATAAAAATGACCTACTATTACACCTCTTTGTGTATTTGTCAATTTTGTATATATTTGGTATGACCGTATGATCGTAAATACCTAGAAAAATCTCGTCTTTCGTTAATAATTTCATTTGTTTGAAATGTCTACCGACCGTAATTTGTTTCTCCAAACGGTCCCGACGTCCGTCATTCAACACAATCAGCATTTATTTATCGCAATTCATGGGGATCATGTCCCATAATTTGCGGGCTGTAAAACCAAATAATTAAACAAGTACTATTTATTGTATTTTTGTTTTACCTCGCGAAACTACAACAAAGCGTAGAGTTGTCGATTCACAAAGTTTTTTTTTTTGTGCTGTGACAGGCTTCGCAATTATTCACTGGAAAACATCGGTATATTTTGACAAATGGATGGGATTTTACCTCAGTTCAAAAAAAAGAAAAAGAAAAAAAAACAGGGCTGAGATACAAATCAGTTTTGCAAGTTGGGAAATAAGGTAAACCACACTGGGGTCGATGATTTTCAGTATCGAAGTACTTCCGTGTGAATCATGATTTTCAAATTGTTCATCGGCTGGTGACCAAATATTTACGGCCACACTAAATGGACACGTTTTTTTTCTGAAGCCCAATAAATTATTTCCTGCATGTCAAGTCGCTATTCGATTTTTTACAGGGCATGGCTCGTTTTCATTCGAAAATATGTGTGAGAATACTTTTAAAGTAC